CTTGGTAGTCCAGGCTGGCCTCGAACTCACAGAGATCCGCCTGCCTCTGCCTCCCGAGTGCTGGGATTAAAGGCGTGCGCCACCACCGCCCAGCTTCATGTGCTTATTTTCAAACCATATATCTTTGTTGAAGAGCCTGTTCAAATTATTATTTTTGATTATTGGTTTGAATGTGTTTTTTTTTTAAGTTGCAACATATTTATTGCATGGAGGTCTTTTTTGAGACAAGGTTTTGTGATACAGTAGCCCTGGCTGGGCTATATTCCCCATATAGCATCCAAGCTAGTCTTGAATGCATTGTTCTTGTGCCTCAGCATCCCTAGTACTGTGATATATTATGTGCATCACCATGCCCAGCTGCAAGAGTTTTTATGTATCTTGTATGGAAGTACTTTGCCAGTTAGGTATTTTATATGTTTTTTCATATAATCTGTAACTTGCCTTTTTATTTCCTTAAGAGCATCTTTAAAAGAGAAGTCTTAAAATTTTTATGAAGTCACATTGTTCTTTTAATTTATATTTTTGTGTGTTCTCATTAGACATCTTTGCCTAATCCAAAATGTTTTCCTCTAGAAATCGTATAGCTATAGTGCTTACATGTAGGCTTATTTTGAGAATCTTTTTTTTAAGTATAATTACATCATTTTCTCCCTTCTCTTTCCTCCCTCCAACCCCTTTCTTGAGTTAATCTTTATAGATGGTGAGGCATCAGGACTTAAATTTGCTTTTGCATATCTCAATACTGTATTACACTCCTTTAATTTGATTTAATTACTTTAGCACATTGGTTGAAAATCAGTCGACCCTCTTTCTTTCTCTCTCTCTGTATGTGTATGTTCTTAGGTGTGAAACTTAGAGCTTTGCACGTGTGGGATCATACTCTACCACTAAGCTCCATTCTAAGTTCATACCAAATGTCAGCCCTGAACATATGTACATACAGGTAACATACAGATTGAGCAGGTTGTATTTATATTTATTTATGTATTATATATTTATTTATATATTTTGGAATGCACACACACACACACACACACACACACACACACATACATATGTCACAACAATTAAAGAAAAAGAGTCCTACATTGGTTTTTCAGTTCTAGAATAGCTACAAACATTTGTTAAAACCTACTTTGTCATGATAATATATGGCTAGACTCAGTTTGCAAAGGATTTCTCCCCTTTTATTAAAAATAGATTCTTTTCTCATACAATATATCCTGATTACAGTTTTCCCTCCCTCTACTCCTTCCAGTTCCCCCCTCCTCTCTGCTTCTGATCTACTCCCTTTCTGTCTCTCATTAGAAAACAAGCTTCTACGAGATAACGATCAAACAGAAGAAAATAAAATATAATAAGATTAAATAAAAACCATCACCCTGAATTGGACAAGGCAAACCAACAGAAGGAAGGAGCCCTAAGAGAAGGTATAAGAATCAGAGACCTGGCAGCTGGGAGAGATGGCTCAGCGTAGGACCTGGGTTCAATTCCCAGCACCCACATGGCAGCTCACAACTGTCTGTAACTCCAGTTCTAGGGGACCCGACACCCATGACAAAACAGCAATGCACATAGAATAAAGTTAAATTTAAAAAAATTTAAAAAAGACAAAGACTCAGAGACCCATTGTTCACAAACTCAGGAGTCCCCTCAAAGTTCTAAGCTGAAAGCCATCATATGTATGCAGAGGACCTGGTCCAGGCCCGTGTCAGCCCTGTGCTTGCTGCTTGAGCTTTGCTTAGTTGAACAAGAGGGCCTTGTTCTCCTGGTGTCCGCCATTCATCCCCTCTGGTTCTTATACTCTTTCTGCTTCCTCTTCCCTGGGGTTCCCTGAGCTCTAATGGGAGGAATTTGATGGAGACATCCCATTTAGAGCTGTGTATTCCAAGAACTCCCTCTCTGTATAATGTCTGGCTCTAAGTCTCTGTATTTGTTTGCAAAAATTATTTTTTTTTATGCTGGTGTTTATAAAGTGTACTTACTAATGATTTTCTTCTATTCTAAACTGTCATTGGACTTTATTTCAGAGTAATGCCAGACACTGCCTCATAAAATACACTGGGGTTGCAGTCTTTTCTGGAAGAGTTTGTGTAGAACTACTGTTAATCCATAATCATTAGTAGAGTTTATCTGACCTGCCTGGGGAATTTTTATGTTTTGGAGTGTGTGTGTAGGCACATGTGTGTAGACTTGCAAGAATAAGTTGAATTTCTTTAGTATTTTAAGTGAGCTTTGAAAGTAGTTTTAAAAGTTTTACATACTTTATACAAGTGTGGTGTTAGAGAAAAGTTGTTCATAATCTTCACTACCTGCTTACTGACTGTGACAGGAGGGAGTGTGTCCTTCTCTGTCCTGATAATCTTCTCTTCCTCTCACTTCTTTTCCCTGTTAACTGTGCAGAGATTTAGAACTTTGATCTTTCAAAGGCCTGTGTTTTGTTCTCATTGTTAGGTTGGCTCTGGAGGATACTCGAGGGCTGGTTTACCTTAGTAAGCCTTGTTTGAACCTGGTCTCCAGTCTTGTGCTCTGGATAGCAGAACACAAACTGTTCCTACCTATTTAGGAACTTAGGATGTTCTTCCTGCTGATGCTTAGTGGCTTCTGGTTCTTCCCATGTCATCACTCAGCTACAAACATAAGTTTTCCTCTCCATGTCTCTGAAATGTTTAAGTAAGAAGCTCTGTAGTTCTCAGCAAATTCTGACTGCCCTTCCTTCTCTGAGCTCTCATATCTGTTGTCTTAATTCAAGGAACTCGGGGCCTCTTTTCCTTCTCATGGACACTTGTTCTGTAGTATTTGAAGATGTGCAGAAGACAGAAACAGACATTTCAGCAAAGAGGATATACAGATTGCAGATACACACATTAAAGTATATTCAGCATGATTCTCCTCTTAGAAAATACAAATTAAAATTAGAATAAGATAGCTGGGTGTACAAGTGCCCAACTTTAACCTCAGCAGAAGCAGAAGCTTAGGCAGGTAGATCTCTGTGAGTTTGGGGCCAGCCTGGTCTGTATAGCAAATTCCAGGCAAGAGGGTCAAATAGTGAGACACTGTCTCAAAAAAAAAAAAAAAATTAGAATAGGATGCTTCTCCATACCTTTCAGAATGACTGAAATAAGAAATTGCAGATTGGGATACAAAGGAAGTATTATGTATACATCGGTAGTGAAATATAGAAGGGAACGCACGTGTATCAGTTACTTTTCTGTCTCTGGGACCAAATTACTTCCCTTGCCAATGGCAGGAAGACTTAGTGGAACATCCCATTTCACAACAGGGAGGGGCCAGAAAGTAGAGGAGTGGCCAGGGATCTGTCCTCAGCAGTCTATGTCTTCCAGCTAGGCTTCACCTCCTCCACAGCCTCCCAAAATAGAACTGCCAGCTGGGAACCAAACATTCAAAATATGAGCCTGTAAGGGACATTTTGTATTCAATCTGCAACAGGATGTTTTGGAAAACAATGTAGTAGTTTGTTTAAAAAAAAAATTAAAGCATGTAAATACTGTGTAACACAGCAGTTGCAGCCTTGACATCCTCAAGAAATGAAGACAGGGACATGTAGAACTTGACATGAATATTCTTAGCAGCTTTATCTAATAGGCAAAAACTAGAATCAACTTGAATGTCCTTCAGCAGGTGAATGGTTAAATGGTGGTACATATATTACATAGTAAACCACTAAATAATAAGAAGGAATGACTTATTGATACATGCAGAGAATTATGCTGAGTGAAGGGTAGAAGCTTCTTCAAAAAGATATGATTCTATATGCATAATACTCTTCAAATGGCAAAATTGTGGGAATAGATAACATACTAGTAATTGCTAGAAGTTGAGGAACAACATGCCAGTAGGAAGGAGTGGGTGTGGTCATGAAGGGCAACAACATAAGGCAGCTTTATGGATGGATACATTCTCTGCTATATTCTTTTCTTTTTGTGTATGTTGAATGCATGCATATGTATGGGGTATATTTGAAATTGCCTTGTGGCCTAGGTAGCTATGCTCTCAGGCTTGAGTAGCAAGCCTGCTACCACTTTCTTATATCTAGCTTCATAGTTACTGAATTTAACTTATGATGAATTTTTGTATGTGTCAAGACAATATCCTGCCATATTTTTGATGTTTACATGTTAAAGGATTGGTCCCTAAACTGACATTACTGGGATGTGGGGCCTCAGAGAAAGTCCTTAGTTCATTGCATGGATGCCCTCAAAGGGGACTGTGGTACCCCATCACTTCCTCTCTACCTTCTGACCCAGGTAAGCAGTTTGGCTCTGCCTCTTGCTTCGGTTGCAATGTGCTGCTCTTGCCAGAGGCCTAAAGCAATGGACTTCCCAGTCTTGGGTTGGACTCTCTAGAACCTTCAGCCACAATAAACCTTTCTCTTTATGAGCTAATTATCTTAGGTGATGCAGTGATGTAGAGCTGACACATGCACTTGAAGCATTTTTCTCTGTGTAAAGTGCCATAGGTCAGAATACTTGGATATCTATATGGCGTTTTCATCTTGCTGCTAGAAAATTCATGACCATGCCATTTTCCTTAAAAGTTGGAAAATCCTTGTTCATTCTGTACTTTCACTTGACTGAAAACAAATCTTGTTCTGGTCTGATCCCTTCTCAGTAGGTAGCCTGTTTTTAGTTAGCTGTTTGTTTTCTGACTGGGAATTCATTTTCATTTTGTATTTTAAATCTGAATTTGGTCACAGTCATTGGTTCTGTCTGTGTATACATGAATGTGTTTTTACTTTTGCCCAGCAGTTAGGGAGCCTTCCATCAGTGAATAGATGTTTTCTTTCATTTTTTATTAATGCTTTGATCTGTTTTCCTTTGCTTTCACAGTCTAGTAATTCAAAATGGGGTACAATGATCAACCTCCACAATTTCTCAGAATTTCCATCTCTTTGTCATCTGTATTTGTTACAGGAGAATTCTTTAGTGGGAACTTTTAATACATGGATTTGTTTTTCAGCCATGTTTATCTTAATCTTGTGACCTTTATTCCTGGGAATAAATTTTTCATCTTGTGAGCATGCTTTTCTGTTTATAGGGATTCTATTCATTTGTTCTGTAGCCTCTTGGATGTCACTAGGGATAAGTTGACATGTTAAATCCATTCCCCTTGTTGACTGTTTTATTGGTGGCTGCTGTATAATTTGCTTAGTTTGTTTTTCATGTTTTGAACTTCTGTGTTTTTCATAGAAGCAGTGAATCTCCGTTGTTTGCTTGTATTTTTTAAATGAAGTTTTAAAGTATTAAGTCATTTGACATGAGCTACTTCAGCATTCTGGTGGGTCATTAGTGATAGTTTGGGGTTTAACATTAGTTTTCCTTGAGCATAAATACTTGGTTTTAGTTTTCCATTTATATGGGATATCCTTTCTCCTTCACTCTATCTATGTTCTTTGAGTTGAAATGAGTGTCTCATAGGCAGCATTCAGTTGGGCCTTTTTTTTTTTTTTTTTTAAATTGTTTTTTTTTTGTTGAGTCTGCTATCCTCACAGTCCCTGAGAGGAAGGACTGTCTTGAAACTTTTTTTTTTTTTTTTAAATCTATTCAGCCATTCTGTTGATTAGAAAATTTAGCTCATTTACTTTACATTCAGTGTAACAATTGATAGGTAAGAACTTACTAGTATCATTTAAATTTTGTATTACATTTATTTGTGTGTTTGTGTGTGTGTGTTCATGTGCATGTGGGTATGCACCAGTGTGTGTGTGAAAGTCAGAGGACAGCCTGTTGAAGTTGGTTCTGTCCTTCCACTATGTTGGTCCTGGGGATGGACCCCAGGTTGTTAGGCTTGGTGGTAAGGTAAGTGCCTTTACCCACTGAACTGGTCTCAGGAGCCCCTGACTGTTACTTTGATAGTTGTTTTCTGGTCCTTTTGTAGATTCTTTGTTCTTTTCTTCCCCATCAACCTCCTTTTGTGGTTAGATTTTGTTGTCCCAATCAACCTCCTTTTTGTAGTTAATTTTGTTGTTTTGTTTGTATCTTTAAGTGGCTTGCTTGAAGCCTGGATCTCCAGTAGATAACCTGGAGTTAGAATGGGCCACAAGACTGAGTCTGCAGAGGCTAAGTGTTGGGATGGGCCTGGAACCTTGAGTGTATAAGGTCTGGTGCTAGGGCAGTCTAAGGGCCTGTTTTGCATGAGAAAGCCTTGTGGGCCTACTTTAGTGCCTGGGACTGTAGGATCCATAGAGGTGATCTGGAAGCTTGATGCTATGCATTGGTCTAGTGAAATGAACATGGGTCCTGAATCCACTAGACTAGTGGAGATTAGCTTCAGGACTGCACCATCAGTAGGTAAATCTAGAGCCTGTGTCTGCATTTAACAACTTGGTTTCTGACTTCAGAGCTATCTTGATTCTGGGCAGACCTAGAAGCTGTGGCTGGGTTTGGTAACTGGTTCAGGGCTGGTCTGGAACCCAAAACTTGCCTGTTGCTGTGTGGACCTGGACCCTGTTTCTGTGGGAGCCAGTACAGAGATTGCTAGGTGTAAGCATTATAACTAGGGTCATGGACAGCCCTGGACTTTGTGCTAGAGGAGGCCTGATGCCTTGGGTAGCTAGTGCAGTCCGTTTTCTATTGCTCTAACTGGATACCAGATGAGGTCACTTAGAAAGGACCGAGGCTTCTTTAGTTGATGGTTCTAGGAGTCTAAGAGCATGGTGTCAGCATCCACTTGGCATCTGGTCAGAGCCTCCTTGCTGTGTCATTGTATGTCAGAGGGCATCACATGGTCAGACAGAGCAAGCTTGATATCTTCAGTTTTTCTTCTTACAAATCCAGGAATACCATCATGTGGAACCTACCTTCAGACCTGATTTAACCCCCTCCTAAAGATCTCTCCTCAAAATACCATTAACATATGACTTTGAGGATTGAGCTTCAACAAGAGTTTTGAAAGTGACAAACATTCAAACCACAGCGGTGGTTACACTCTTGCTTTACCTAGCACTCTGTCGAAAGTTGTCCTGGGAGTGAAGATTGCACGGGCAAGATTCTGATACTCATGTCAGTGCTGGTGGGGATTTGGTAAGAGGGAGTGCTCACATCTCTGAGAGAACTGAAATGCTATGTGGCTCTTCTGGAAAGTAACTTGGCAGAAGATACAAAGTCTTTTAAATGACTGTTCTCTTTGGCCTACTCTCCATATTTCTAGAAGCCCATCTTTAAGAATTGGGGTAGGTCTGGGTTTATATTCAGAGCTCCTCACTGCCACATAGCTTACAATTGGAGAAGTTGGAAGGAATCTGCTTGAATGTCTTATGTAAGAATAGTAAATCATGTCAGTTGTATAACATGGAGAAATAACCATGACACATATTAAATGAAAAAGTATAGGACAACAGTACATACTCAACATGATCTTTCTTTATTAAAAAGGCAGGAAAATACTATCTATATATGATTTTAAAAGCCATGATAAATTACCAGTGATAGGATTCCAAGTGAATTGTGTTTTCTTTTTAAACTTGTCTGTAACTAAAATTAGTAGGAAAAATATAACAAAATAAAGGCTATGCTACCCTCCTCAAAAATTCTGCCAAGTCTGTGTAACTTCTATAATCAGAAATGTTGTGAAAATGTCTCTAGATACCTCACATTGTATCAAAAGGTTGCTGTTTTTCACAACTGATGGTGTCTGTCCGAGCTGACTATATGGTTATCGTCACCATGCAAATGGATTTTGAATTCTCTAGCTCCCCACACTGTGCGGTGAGCACTGCCATTGCCAGAACTAGCGTATGCGCTCCAGCATGGCCCATCTGCTGCTCAGGCTGGGCTGGGCTGGGCTGGGTTGACACAGATTTATCTTGTTTCGTTCCTTATTTGGCAGCATAGCCTCTTTCTCGTGATCATAGCTGAGTTTAGTGCAGTGTTACTCATTTCATTACCTGTTTGTTGTTTCGTCCTTTTGTTCCATTTTGTGAAATGAAGATGCCAACAATGGGAATTCTGACCCTGAAAATGCAGCTCTTGTCCTGTGGGGTCTTGGTCATGTCTTGCTAACTTGCCCCTGCTTCTGACACTCACAGAATATTTTGGTTGTTTTGATAAGTAAGAAGCACCATGGTTTATTTTTCAAAGGATTTAGCATTCCTTTTCCCAGCCCCACCCCCGACAGATTTGGAGCCGGTTCCAAATAGAAACTGTAAACACTAGCCTTAAGCTAAGCCCTCTCCATCTGGTATGGGTGCATTTTTTATGCTGAAGGCTCATGCTGTTTGCTTAATCTTCATCAGTGCTGCAGAAACACGAGGGGTGAGACTTACCTCTACCCCAAGCACCTTACTTAAGAAGGATTTTCCTCTGCTTTGGTTTGTATTTCAAAGAGCACAGGGACAGTCAGCCAGACTGCTAGGAATTTGTTGAAGTGAAACTTTAGGACTATTAGAACCATCTTAGAGATTTATTGAATGGATTTGTTAGGATAGGCTAGCTGCTGCCAGAGAATCCTCTCTGATCCTGACACTATTTATTTTCGAAGCTGCTCTTTCTAAGACTTTGTTCTACTTTGCTCTCTAGGTTACCCTGAAGAGACTTATCCAGTGTATGACCTTTCCGATGGTATCAAGCGTAGGCAAGAAACAATCCTGGTGGATTACCCTGATCCGAAAGAGCCCTCTGCTGAAGAAATAGCTGAACGGATGGGAGTGATGGAAGAGGAAGGGTCAGAGCATTTGAGCTGGGATCATTTGCCCACTGACCCTGGAGCCCAGAAAGATAATTCTGTCACCCTGTGTGATCCTAAACCAGAATCATGCTCCTGCTGTTTTCATGAAGAGGAGGATCCTGCTGTCTTGGCAGAGAATGCTGGTTTCAGTGCAGATGGCTACAGTGAGCAAGAGGAAGCCACCAAGGAAGACTGGCCCCAAGACTTTACAAATGAAGGGTCGGGGATCAGCACTGATAGTACACACATGGGTGGCATGTTGAGGAAGCGCAACCCCCAGAGTTTAGAGTGAAAGCAGCCTGTTTGATGAAGTATCCATTACTCTATTCCCAAGGTATCTTTCCTGAATTTCATCCATGGCCCTGTGCCCTCTACTTCCTTCTCAGTGTTCAGAATCATAGTTGTTGGGCCACTGCCATGGATATTATCTATCCTTCCTGGTGCTTGCACACCTGTCACCTTGTAAAGTAGACATGAGTGTGAACACAGGACAGCAACCTTTCTCTTCCTGCCTTTCCACATCAGAGATACTAACTCATTAGGTAATTATACTTGGTTGATTGTGCTTGGAGGTGGTACCACCTGTGCAAAGATCTGACCCCTCATAGGAATAACAGATGGTTTACCTGTGAATGAGCATTAGATTAGCAGATATTGGGACTTAAGGTTTTAAGAATGAAGATTTTAGACTCTCAAATGCCTTATTCTTTGGGCCTTTTGAATAGGTTAGTAGTCTCCTGAGGAGAAGAGCATGCTCAATTGTGAGGATAAGGGGCCCAGAGCACAGAAAGCCAGCCTCCCCTCAGAGCCTTCTAGGTTAAGATACCCTGGCTCCTTGGGAGCAGCAGGCTATGAACACACAAGCCCATGTGGAGACCGTTTTGCCTGTATACTGCCTTGATCCCTAGCCTCCTCTGTCCTTCCTTACTCATGTAACAGGACTGCCAAACCCAGAAGCACCTTTGTACGACTGGTGGTCGGTGGCTAGGGCTGTCTGAGGCATAAGTACTAGTCTGTGTCCCACAAAGATGGAGTTTGAAGCTGTTAAAGCTACAGAGTGGCCTAAGTATAGTAGTGGTCCTTCCATGAGTTCAGGTGGCCAGGGAACCATGTCTTTGTGAGACAAGATGAAACCTGTGAATCCTAACAAGGGGGAGTCAGTTCAGTTACATGTGAGACCTGCAAGTTGAAAGAAGGCGTCTCCAAGGACATCCCAGGCATGAAATGGGAAACGCAAAAATTAAGGAATCCTGTGAAGCTGGATACATTCTTTAGAGTTCTATTGTGCCTGGCATGAATATGACACCAGAAGACACTTTGGTCCCATCAGAAGGTATGGGACCACACTAAGATAGTTGGCTGCTACAAAGCTTTACGTGTTAGTTGAACTAAAAAAGGCTCTGAAGATTGAGTCTAAAAATACACTACACTGCATCGATCCCTGTATAAACCATTTGACTAAAATTGTGAAGAATGCAGTTACCGTGTACTGAAGATAGTCTCAGCGTAACTAACACTAAGGGTAAAAAACAATGTAAGTACTCTTGTTTTGGTAAATTATTTTCTGTGTGATTCCCTCATCCACTGTGTGAAGTTGATTTAGGATAGCCCTGGATCCTCACTCTTGTTCATTTGTCAGACAGTTGCCTGTGCTGAGTACTTAGAAGACTGGATTTGTCCCTGGAAGAGTTCCAGTTTAATATGGGAGCCTGACAGATGCACTGTAGACTGTAGGAAGGCTCGAGATTGGGGATTCTTCTGGGTCCTGATCCTCTCCTGCAACGCTGGCTGTAGAATTTTGGATTGGCTCCTTAAGCAGTCTGAGCCTGGTCTGGGCATCTGTAAAGTGAGGGTAGTAAAACACAGGTCTCACAGGGTTGTAAGCTGTACATGAACTCGTCAGTGTGCATAGGGCAGCCTGACTAGCTCATGCATAACAGCATATCATGTGGTAGCTATTTTATTAGTGTGGACCCAAAACTACAGGACCATGGAAGAACAGGAATGTTTCTGCCAAAGTACCAAAAATTTCAGAAGAGACACTGTGGCATTCTAAGAACATGAGCAAGGAAGAGAAAGGACATTTTAGCAGAAACAGTGGGTTAGCAAGGACAGTGGAATGTGTAGATGGATATTCAGCTGAAAAGTGTTACAGAGTCAACTCTGTTGTTATTGGGGATTAGCCATGGAAACAGTTCCTGCCAGAAAGACCAAATGCATATAGGAGTATATTTGTCTGTATACACCTGAAACTTCAATGTACCTTTCAGTAATTTAGAATGTAGGCATTAATTTATTAATTAATTTATTTATATTTGTCAGAATGCTATCCTTTGGATATGATTTTACATGTATATCCAGTCCAGGGGACTGGTTTTCATTGTGATATTCATTTCTCAGTATTAAAGGCTGCAGTCTTCATCAAGGCCTTGCCATTAGGTCTGCAGTGACCTCTGGGGCACTGTAGCAGTAGCTGGCCTAAAAAGCCACTGCACATCACCTAGACCCATGCTTGGTGATCAGCCAGATCCCTTACCATGGTCATAGGAGGAACCCAGGACAGTGCCTCATTATAATGCTCAGGGACTAGGTCTGGAGGTATGCTGAGGGATAGAGATGGATTTAACCTCTGGCAGTAATGGCTTATCAGAACCATGTTCTTTGTGCTTAAACTTAGGTGATAATTTATGGTCTGCACTCAGACACTTTGAAAAAAGGAACTTAAGTAACACATATGGCATACTTAATATTTTCATATCACTGTGACAAAATATCTAACAAAGGCAACTTACTGCAGGAAGAGCATATGGTTTGAGGATAGTCCTTCCTGGCAGCAGGAGCCATGAGGACTGGTTCAGTCAGGGAGCAGAGAGATTAATGCTAGCACTTGGCTTGTTTGCCCTCTTTTATTCAGTCTGGGACCCCAGCCAGTGGGATGCTGCTGCCCACAGTGAAGATGGGTCTCCTCCTCAACTACATCATCTTGTAAAGTGTCATAGACAGGTGTGTTTCCATGGTATTCTGAATCCCATCAAGTTGGCAACTGAGATTGACCATAGAGGCAACAGGTGTAAACCAAGATCTTCCTGGACATGTGTTCTACAAATTTAGGATTTTTTGTAGACTAAACAAAACTCTTTCCCCTTTTAGAACATCTTGTATATTGTCTTTCTTCCTCACAAAGGCAGAAGCTATAGGAGTCAGGCCATGGTTCAGGTAGAGAATGCATTTAAGTCACATTAAAAACACCTAGAGAGATGGCTCAGCCGTTAAGAGCACTGGCTGCTTTTCTAGAGGTCCTAAGTTCCCAGCAACCATATGGTGGCTCACAACCGTTTATAATGAGATCTGGTGCCCTCTTCTGGCCTGCAGGGATACATGCAGGCAGAACTTACACATGATAAATCTTAAAAAAAAAAAAAAAAAAAAAACCCTAATTATCAATCTACTCTTCAATTCACCTTTTGACAATTTGTATCTACAAAGAATATTTTGTGTTCCACCTGTTGAACAGTGATAACAGTGAATCAGCTATCCTGTAACCTTGGCCATAAGCATGTCTAAAAAATACTTTATTATCAAGAAAACAGGCCATTCTTTCACTTCATAGGGCACCAGTTTCCTTGTGGATGGACTGGGATCATGCCCACCTTATAGGACTGTCATGGAGTGTCTGTCCCAGAGTGAAATGTGCACCTTCACTGTCTTGAATCTCTTGCTGCTGGACTGTCCCACTTGATACCTTCTGCAAGGCCACTCTTGACTACCGGGAATGGTCCAGGGTCACTCTGTGGGGTATGTGTGACTTTGTGATGACTCCCTTCAAGAGTAGACCATTAGCTTTGAGGCTTGCTTTCAGTAATAATTACAGGCTTCCTTCCATCATTTTGGCTTCATATCCACCACAGACTGAGATTCCCACACATGTAAAAATCCTGTTTAAATGGTTCCAGCTCTGGACATGGCCTGGAATCACATGGCTGGGCCTTTTCCACCCTTGAGTCCTACATCCCAGTTCTGTCTACAAGGACCATGCCCACCAGGCACACTTAGGGACTATTGGCCAGTTCCTTTGACAAGTGACCCAGATGACCCTGAAGTATCGTCTAGCCTCATTTTTCCACACTGGATGTGGCACCACATGAGAAGATAGTGTTGACCTGTATGTCACTGGTTTTAAACACACATGAGAAGACAGTGTTGACCTGTATGTCACTGGTTTTAAACAGACACGAGAAGACAGTGTTGACCTGTATGTCACTGGTTTTAAACACACATGAGAAGACAGTGTTGACCTGTATGTCACTGGTTTTAAACACACATGAGAAGACAGTGTTGATCTGTATGTCACTGGTTTAAAACACACTCTGCGCCCTTTTTTGCTGCTCTTACCCACCGGACCCTTTGAAGCTCCTAGGAATGCATGGAATGGAGAACATTTTCAGGAGAGACGCATTTTCTCCCTCTATGAAAAACAAGGACACAGCAGTGAAACAGTTCAAGTTTAATTTGTTGATACACGTCTTTACTTAGACAAACACTAAATTCTATAACATACATAATGTCATTATGGGAAAATACCAAGTTTGTCATTGCACATACCAATAAATAAATACATTTGCTTCAGAATACCAAAAAGTTTATTCAAAAAGTCACTTAATAAAAGCACAGTTTTGCAAGTTTGTCTAAAACTCCAGATAATTTTAAATAAAAATAAAATGTCTGACCACTCCAAAATAGGAAAAGACAGTCATGTGCAAATCGACATACATGTTCTAGGCGTTGTGAAACTGGCTAAGTGTGCTCCCAGCAAGAGAAATGCTGCCCGTCCTCACCAAGCTGGTCACATCCAGGAGGCTGGAGCTGGGCTTCCCCTTCTGTGCTACTCTGAGGTGCTCTATAGAAGACTCTAGACTTCAGCCTCATCTCCAGCTCTACCTGGACCTCAACGGAGGGAGGAGGGGCAGGAGAGGAGAGGAGAGGGGTGCAGTATCTTTCTTAGGAAAGAAAGAAGGCACAGTGATGAGCTAGGAAAGGTAGTGATGAGAGCAAGGATTAACCTTCACCAACCCAGCTTTGACAGGCCTGCATCTTTATCTTAGGGTAAAGAGACGGACACAGGATTATGTAGTTTGCTCAAATGCCTTAGCTGCTGTAAATGCAGTTGTATCCTCTGTGCTGAAAACCCAAACCCATCCCAGTACTTAAGATCTTGAAATGACAAAAAATTGCAAGCTGGAGTGAATAAGGGCAGGTGGTCATAAACTGAAGTAAGAATCCATCCCATAGCCTGTCCTGGAGACTGGGGCAGTTCTACAAGCCAGAGCCTAGGGCAGTGTAAGGTCCCAACTCTGCAGGGCAGTTGGGCCCCAGTCACAGTGCTAGGCACCACAGAAAGCATGCTTTGATGGCACCTGGCATCCTGAAATCCCATGAGGATATCACAGCTGGGGCAAGGAGTACAGAGAAGGGAAAGCCAGGGCTGCTGCTCAGGGGGAACCAGGCTGTCCATCGAGGAGATGGCTGTTGTGCTTGCAGAGCAGGGCTGTGGACGTGGCTCCTCCCTGCAGACCCCATCTGAGCAAACTTAGAACTACTTCTACTTCTAAATAAAATTTGGAAGCAAATACCCTGCCATTTCCAGAAAGAAGGAAAAAATAAACCACTTCTACAACATTGTTGCCTCATCAGTGAAGGTAGGTTTACCACAAGTTCTCTTCCAGCCTGTCATCACACATCTTGGCTCCCCTAGGCATGTACCTGACTTGCTTCCCCTTAGTGTCAAGATTGTTAAGGCACCATCACCACACCATGTTCATTTAAAAGGATGCACATCTCAGCTCCTCCTCCAGTGAGACTGGCACTACATTTCCTTGATCATCTCCTGCTTGGAACCATGGAAGAAAGAGCATGGAAAGAAGGGACATAATCCACAGTGGTCACAACTGCCTCCTTATTCTTTTCCTACTCAGATGTGATCTTAAATGTCTGTTGGTTGATTGCAGATTGCCCTTTCCTCCAGACACACGTGCACACGCACACACAGACAGACACAGAGCACCTTGGAGCCAGAAGGACAGAAAAAGCTAGACTCGGAGAGGACTTGGGGAAGCTAATGTCACCACTCTGCAGAGGAACTGTTTTGAAGCAGAGGGTGGAGAGTTTTAGGGTGGAGAGCCAGTAGCATACAGAGGAGCTGCCTAAGGTTCCAGCTGCTCCACACTCGTACAGACTGTCCATTCATCCCATCATCAATTTGTTGCCTAGTCAAGGACCACCTAGGAGAAGAGGGTGTGAAAGGTAAGAAATCTTACTGTGGGAGAGGCTGAACCCAGGTGATCCCCAGGGCCATGCTATCTGAGGTCCATGGCCTGTGCTCAAGAAAAGGCAACATCACCAGGGGCTGTGTCCCAAGATCTGAGCTTGGGAGGCTGGTCTGAAGCAGGTTACTCAACTACTCTTGTCACTTGGTGCCCCATAGAGGGTCTTGTGCTGACGCTGCCGTTCTCCATAGTGGGCCTATTTCCTGGTGCTACCAAATTTATATTCTAATAGCCAACACCCCCTTTTTTGTGTGCTGAAGCAGAGAGCAGAGGCCAAGAGTTTCCCATTGTGCTTCCAGTTCCTTCCTTCCCACCAGGGGCTCTTCCACCCACTAGACTCCAGAATCAGCCTGTTCAACCTCAACATTGTAAACCCAGAGAAAGGGCTGGACTAGAATGAAGATCTGCTTTCTGTCACCTCTAATGTCAGCAGATTGCTCCTTATAAAGTCAGGGAAGGAGGGCAAACACAGAACTACGGGAAGGACATAGATGGCACTGTAATCTTTCATCTGGAGATAGGCCAGCCCTAGCATAGACGTCCCAGTGCCCTCTCGAAACTAGACTGTAAACAAAGGCTAACTCACTGGAAGGTCCTCTCGTGGAGATGTATGGCTCAGGTGTGTCAGATCCTACTACAGCGGGTGTGCCTTGCTTAGAAGGAAATAGGAGAATCCAGATGTTTTTCTTAAGTACTATTTCCATTTACATCAACCCAGCCTCCTGACCTGTAGAGCCTCGTTTACATACTCAAAGCATGACTTTACTTTTACTTAGCCTTTTTGAGCATATCTATTTTAAAGCAATGCCTAAATGCTCTTTGCTTCCCACTGGTTTCTTATCTCCATCTAGGCAAGAAGCTTCTTTCAAATGACACAGGCAAGGCTTGGCGCTCCCAAGCCCACTAGATGAGTGGTGCCATCCAAGGAAAAGTGGCAGTGGAAGGGATGTCCAGACCCAGCCCCTGAACCCTCAGGCTGCCTGTCACATCTACACAAAGGTTTGCAGTGGCTCTGCTGAGGTCTGTGCACAGCTTGAAGCCCTCATAGAGGGGCCAGGCACAGGCTGGCCGGATCAGATCAGACAACTTTCAACATGGAAATGCCTGATGCCCTACCGAAAGGTTTTCAATCAGAGTTAGAGATTAACTCTGAGGGTTCTAAGTCTCTGGAATGGGAAGGGAAAGGGCATGCAGAATGGACCCCAGAAGGCCAGAGAGTCTAGTTTCTGGGAAACAGTAGAAACAAAGGACCTTGAGGTTCTGAACTCTGTCATTAACCAGTTAGGTAACCAAGAGACAAGTCCCATATTCTCAGGGATCAGCATTGCTTTTGGTGAGCCATACAGAGTCCTACCACCTGAGCTCTTGTGGCCCTAAAATATTCTCCGCTCTTCTCACCCCGCTCCATTCCCCAAGAACGGCACACAGCCCTGAATGATCTGGGCATGCTAGTAACAATGGGAACTGGGTCTGCCCAGAGAGGACATTCTTCCTGAAGCATGCCATTACTCCAGTGGTGAGCTCTACCCTACGACGTGTCATAGGAGTTGTGCTGGGACTGCTCAACGTCAGCAAGCCCTGGTGTAGGGATCCTCCTGGACGACTCCTGGAACCCCCATCCACTCAGATATTTGGCTTGGAGAGCTAGGTTCTTGCTTCTAGAAGCAACAAATGAGTTACCATTCTAAACTACCACCTAATTCACACAGCCAGGCCCCTGCGATCCTAGCAAGGCTCTGCCACTCACCTATTCCCACCCCTCAACTTCCCTTAGGCCTGATGGGCCCTTCTGAGGTGGAAGGACTTTCTGCTGACCACCAGGCCCTTTCCTACATAAAGAGCCCTCTATATACACACATCGACTCACTGTACCCTACCTCCTGGGACACCCACTGTCCCCCAACTTGTAGGCTGAGTGGATGGCTGGGCCACAGCAGCCCTGCTTGTGCTTCCCGCCCTCTGCACCTCCTGCTGAAGAGCTTGCCCTGTGTGGTAGACACAACTGTGGCAGGGTACTGACCCAAGACTGGTCAAGTGTGTTGACCTGGGGGCACAGAAATACTCCTTTTCCCTTCATACCCATTTGCTATCCCCCTGCTTCAGCAGCAGAGGCAGAGCAGCCAGTTTCTGGTTGGTAAGGCCAGAAAGCCCGCTGAGGGCCTATGAACAGAGGGGAGGCAGGGCTGTCTCGGCAGGCAGGCAAGCTCCACTCCGGACTGGGCCACCCTAAAGGCTGAGGAGGCCTCTACTCACAGGCCAGCTTGCTGTCAAAGCTGGACAGCGCGATGGCAAAGGCCTGCAGTGCACACAGTGGGTAGTTGTAATCCATGGTGAACACGTCTTCTGCTACCCGGCCAAACTGCATGACGATGTAGTCCGCTGTGGCCATGCACAAGCATGGGTGGTGGAAACAGAAGAGCAGATGAGACACAGGCCACAAGAGGGAAGGAAAGGAGATGCCAAGAGATCCCAAAGGATAAAAAAAACAAAGGCTCAGGAGAAGAGACAGGTGAGGAGCAAGAGGGTAAAGGGGGGGGGGATGCATACAGACAGCAGGGAACAGGGAAGAAAAGACATCATTTAAAGGGTGTTCCCAAGCCCCAGATTCGGCTGGGCTCACAGAATCTGGGGCCAGAGCTCTAATCACTACAGTTGGAAAGTTCTTGCTAATATAAGCCATATACCCACATCCTGCAATCTGGCTGGTATGGACCGGGGAGTGAGGGCTAGGTACCACATGTCCAGTGTCAATAAGGAGGGCAGCAATACTCACGGTCATTGCCATGGATGATCTGGAAGTTCTTCACAGAAGCCTGGGTGACGCGCCCATGGAAGTTGAGTACGTAGGACTGTGTGTCATCATTCCAGACTGGCGTCTTGTTTTGCAGCTCAATGATGGTCTCCGTGTTCTTGTTCTGCCAGCGTGCCAGCAGTGTCTCGTGCTCCTGGTGGTAGGGAAGTGGGGACAGCCTTGCTTGAGCCAGACCCAAGCCTTGGCGTCACAGCCACCCAAAGAGGGATCTTACCCAGGAATGAGTTCCCCTAAACTTCCAGAGTTTCTCAAATTGTATCCCCTACACATACACCTTGGGGGAATTCTGCCCTTAGAAGCTCATTCAGAGGCTGGGGTCTGGGGAAGCGTTAGAGACTCACATTGCGGGGACGGATACAGACTCTCTCATGAACCATGTTCATGCCTGGAACAATCACACTCATCTTCCGAGGCCCCTTGAAGCCTAGGACATTTGTCTCCTGGGAAAACAAGAGAATTTATTACTGGCTACCTCGAACTGCTTACTCATAGGGAGACTAGGC